CTGCCCTTTTCCCCATAATATTGTTTATTTTACTTAAATTTAAACTGGTATTCACTTCCTCTCACCTTCTGCAAGGCTTAAATATGACCTAGGGAAGATGCTCTGAAGATTTAAAGATCTTCCATCTGCTTCTTTAAGTGAAGCCAGGGCTCCAAATCCACCACATGTCATACATTACATTATGAACAAAAGGATATGCAGATGCTGAAGTTCTCCGAGAATGTTTCCCTGCTGGAAATAACATTTTTACAAGCTTCTGTATTCGCTTCAGCCTCTTCCTAACAGGACCTCCTGTGGGGAGAACTCACTATTTCTCATTCTGATGATGGTTTTGAGTAACACTTATAATTGTCTGCCAATGGCTGTGTATATTTTGGCAATAACAAATCTGTTTCCCTGCTAAATTTTCCTTAGCACCACTTTTGGAGCAGTGTGGGGTGGACTACAACCTTTGCCAGGGCATCATGGCACTCCTTAGGATTTAGTTCTCTCTGTAGCTGGAGAATGTGGTATTATTTAATGAAGTGCATTTTGCTGTTTACCAGTTCAAGTGGTAAAAGCCATCACATTCCTCTGAGCTTCTCCTGCTGCCCCCTTGGCAAGCCTTGGCTGTTCTTTAGTCCTTGTAGGCAGTTCTGGTCTCTGCACAGCTCTCCTCCCGACCATGCCAGGAGAACTTTAATTCCTGCAGTAAAACAAAGTCTAATCTGGAAACAAAATCACCAGATGGTGAAGTTATCTTTGTCTTGACTCTGTGTTCAGTGTTGTAGCTCATTTGGTTACTACAGCTGATGCTGCTTCTTATTTAGCACTTTTCTCAGTTGTTTGGAGTCTCTGCAGATATTAAATTACAGATTCTAAATTCAGCAAGCTGAGAGCCTCAGGAGAGCTGGGCCTGCTTTGCTTGGTCTTGCAAGTGTGCAGATGGGTGGCAGACACCTTTTGCAGTCTTACTTTGCACAGCAGGTCCTTTCCAAGGTTCATCCTACCATGTGTGACATCCAGTACTTGCTTCTTTAAGCTCTACTATTCATTAATTGTATTTAATTAATTGTAATCAATTGTCTTTTTGTTCTTTTCTGAGAAAATCTGCTTGTTTGTCCAGTGTGGCATTTTTTATGCCATCCGTATTTTGCTGCCTACTCCTAGTTTATGTTTTTCTTCTGCCATCAAGTGTGCTGATGCCCACTTGTCTTCTGTATGGAACCAGCAGTGTTAGTAATTCCCTTCAATGCCCAAACTAGGGAATTGTAGGTGCAATGGAAATCCTGAGCCCAACACGGATGGGAGAAGAAAGAGAAGATGAGGAAACAGTTTGACTCAGGGAGAGAGGAGGAGCTGTGAGTGTGGTTAGGGTGAACAATCCTGATGCCACCATTCATGCACATCATCCAGTTTCCTGACTCCACTCCAAGCCCTGCCAGCCCTGCAGGGGTTGTCCTGGCTCTGTGGCTCACTGCCTCACATGGGCTGTGTTCTCTCCCTCCTCTGCTCCACTGCCCTGTCCTTTGGGCTCCATTTGCAAAGTCAGCACATCAGCACATCTCACTGAAGAGCTCCTCTGAGCCTGCTGCAAGACTTCAAGGCAGTGAGCCCAGCTGGGGGTGGAGAAGGGATGTGGCTAAAATACTATTAAAAAATCCCTTTGCTATCAATTGCAAACCATAGCACTTCCTCAGTGCTAATGGTGCTGTGGTATTAAACTCTTCTCAAGGGTTCAAAGCATCCTAGTCCCCCCAATGCATGGGAGATAGATCCTACAGCAGTCTTGTGTGTCCATGAATGAGTGCAAGGGTCTGTCACACTTGGTGAAGTACAGGCCTTCTTCCTCCCAACATTTCTTAAGGCAGAGAGAAGTCATGTTCTATTTGGTTTTTTGTGATTAGTTCAAATATTTACTTATAAATTGTGCCAGCTCTTGTGGGAACTGAGTTAAAATATTATCGAAACTTCTCAGAATAATTGGAAAATACAAGTATTTGATACCCAGCAAGATTATCAGCTTTATAGACTGTTTCATGGCATTAATTCTTATGGTACCTTAGCTCACCACATGAGTAGGCTTGTCACCCATGTTCTGTGAAGGAGAGTTCTGTATTTTAGCAGAGGTGGTGGGAGGTGTGTTGAGGTGCCCAGGACTGAAAAGAGCACCCTCCTTCCTTCCTCTTTCTTATGCTGAGGAGCTATTGCAGGGCTGACCCAAGATTTCTCAGTGAAATATTTGTGTTTATTTTCCCTAGCCCCTTGCAAGGGAGGGTGTCTCTGGCTTTCTGCCTTTTTGGGGAAGGGCTGAGTGTAGAGAAAGTAAAAGGATTTTTTTTCTCTGGCTTTTTTTTTTTTTTTTTTTTTTTTTTGGCTTTTTTTTTCCCTGACTTTTTTTCTTAAAATGAACTTGGCAGCTCTGTAAATCTCCCTTGGGAAAGCAGCCCATCTCCCGGAAGATTGCTCTCAGTGCTTCCAGCTTCTTCTAAAAGAGTCTTGACAACCAAAAAGCAAAGAATATCAAGGGCTTTCTGAGCCTGTTAAGATTTATGGGCTCATTTGCAACTTGGCAGTGAGAGCTGGCCTCAAATGCATCTCAGCAGAGACACCAAATAGCAACAGCCTCTCAGCCCTCTGTCCAAGAGCCGCCGCCTCCCTTCTGTTCTCAGCCCTTTCCCTGCTCCAGGGGCTGACAAAGGCAGATAGAAATCCCTGCTCGAAAGTGCCAAAGGCCCTGCAGCAGGAGCTCCTGAGCCCCATGTGCTCGTGCTGTGGTGGAACAGGGAAGCACTCCCTGCTTTCTGTGGGCTCCTGGCCAGCAGCAGAGTTCCTCTCAGGCAGTGACACAGCGCTGCTGCTGAGCTGCCCTTCCAACAACATCCCCATGAGAAAAAACCCTCTGGTGAGCACAAGAGCCAAGAGAAATCAAGTTCTGTTTAGCACCAAAGTCTGATTTATTTTCTCAGACACTTTCTCAGCAGAGCGCACATTCTATGTATTTCACAAAAAGATTCTCAGTAAATATGACAGAAATTAAAAGGAAAAAAATTAAACATTGAGAGGGCTTTGAACAACCACCAAATTCCTGTGCATCCTCAAAGGAAAAGGAGAAAAGTTCATGCACATCTCCAGCAAGCCAAGGGCACCATGTAAAGACAGTGTGCCAATTTTCCCATGGATTTTTAAATGCTTTGTGTATTGAAATATGTAATGTGCATGCCAGACATGAAAATTAATGTTGACATGCACAGTTACATCCTGCTCCATTGCTGTGTGTGTGTTTTCTGGATGCTGCAATTTGGAACTTGCTTTGTTTGGGTGGAAGGTATTTTTCCACTCAGCATCACATTTTGTCTCGAGTGTTTTTTGAGGCATGTCACAGAGAATTTTTTCCATAGTTTTGTTTTAACTTCTGGTTTGTTAGAACTTCTAATCCTTATGTAATATGTAGTGGATAAATTTGTAAGCCATTCCAATAATGCATAGGAGATATAGAAAATACAGTCATGTTCTGTGAATGTAAGTCATACCTCCAAAATGCAAATTGTTTTTCCCTGGAGCCAACCTCAGGGGCATAAGAAATTGAATAGACACAGTATATTTATTTTCTGCAGATTCTTCAAACATCAAAAAAAAAAAAAAAAAAAAAACAACCAAACAAAACAAAACAAAAAAAAACCCCAAAAACAAAAAAAAAAAAACCAAACCCAAAAAAAAAAAAAAAAAGAAAACCAAAAGCTGGTGGTGGTTTCCAGAGGCAAACAGGTCAAACTATCACAGCTTTCAAAAAATTCATCATGTGATAATGTCACTAAGGGTAAATTACTGCTACTTTTGCAGAAGCAACAGAATTCCAGCTTCTCTTTGAGGACTGTGTTTAATTCCTGCCTGGAACTAACAACCCTGCACTTCAGAGAAATGACATACTGCAGGGTCAGAGAGCTTGAAAATCCCACCTGAATGTTGAAGCATCAGTTCTAAGATGACTGGGACTGGGGGAAAAAAGAAAACAAAACCAAAAACTAAACAAAATAACAACAAAAAACCCCCACCACGTAAGTAAAACCCAGAAAATTAAGACATTATTGAGGACAAAGTGTTATAGATGTTATAGAATACATTTTATAATGTGTTAAAACATTTTAAAACATGTCATACTGACATACTTAAACTTTGGTATAATGCCAAAAAGCCTCCAGGATCAACCTTACTAATTGAATTGAACCTGAAGCATTCGGTGGAATAATGCAGAGATTAGCAGCTTTACAGCTTACTGAAAATCAAACATGTCCTAACAGAACATAGTTTACTGTATAATTGCATTATGGGGCCATGTTTGGTAATTGAGAGTTAAGTCAACAATAGATTTCTTGTTCAATACAGGAGACACTTTCAAGCTTTTTTTAATTTTTTTTCTCTTTAGCATTCCTCTGGACTTCTGGATTTTTTTAATTACCAGCCCCAAGCCCTCAGTCCACACCAAGACTTACACTGAAGATGACTTCCCTGATTTTATTTATGCTCTGTGTGTCCCTTTTCTGAGAAATGTACCTGTGTCTTCCTTCAGGTGCTCCGGTGCACCTCCAGCCCCTCTGCTGGGGGTTCTGTGTGCTCTCAGCATGGCTTTAGAAGCACGAGATGTAGCTCTGAAAGCTCCCTGGCAGCGGGCTGGGCTTGAATCAGGTGATGACAGGGACCCAGAGCTGCCTTCCAGCAGAGAGCACAGCCCTGTGCTAGGGAACAGACCAAATCACCTTCTGTGCTGGCTGAGCAAGCACAGTTCTTTTAAAGTTGAACCATAGGTTGGACTCTAAGATCACATCTAATGTTTCAGGGTGTTAATGAAAATCTGTGCCATCCTCAATCCAGGCACCAGTGAGGTTCAAATGCTGGCAGCCCAGTAACCCTGAGTCCTCCTGTTCTCTTTCAGGGGAGGTGGAATGCAATCCCACTGCTGTGGGTGACAGCCTTTGCCTTGACTTGATGCTTATACTTGTATTCCTGGAGCAGCTGTGATCCTTGCTATAACACCCTCTAAAAACAGTTAGTTAAGACTCAGAATGAGCTTCAGTTAGTTAAGCTTCAGCATCTTCTTGCCCTGGGACTTGTGCTGATTGGGAGTGGTTTGCTCTGGAGGTTTCACAAATTTCTGTGTCTTTCAATCATTAAAGTCCAGCAGGCAATATCATAGAATAACAGAATTGTTTGACTTGGAAGGGACATAAAAGATAATGCAGTTCCAACATCCCTGCTGCCATGGGCAGGGACACCTTTCACCTTTCACCAGACCAGACTGTTCAGAGCCCCATCCAACCAGGCTTTAAACACTTCCAGGGATGGGGCATCCACAACTTCTATGAGCAACCTGTTCTAGCGTCTCACCACCCACCCAATTAAGGATTTCATCCTAAAATCTAATCTAAACCTACCCTGTCTCAGTTTGAAGCCATCCCCCTGTGTACTGTCACTGGAGTTGCTGATTAAGAGTCCTTCTCTGGCTTCCTTGTAGGCTCTCTTCAGATACTGGAAGGTTTCTATGAGGTCTCCATGCAAACTTCTTTTCTCCAGGCTGAATAGCCCCACCTTCCCGAGCCTGTCTTCATAGGGGAGGTGCTCCAGTGCCCTTATCCTGGATACTGGGGTACAAAGTCATCACCTGGCTCATCCCACTGTATGGATAAGGGGAGCACAGCTCCCTGTGTATGTTTATTTGCTGGGCAGAGGGTGGCCTTGCAGCTGGGGTGTGCCAGTAGTCCCTGTAAGCGGCGCTGGGGTAGGCATGGGCGTTCTGGAATAATCCCGTTCCGTTGCTGGGCTCCAGCTGGGCAGGCTGCCCCGGGGCCTGGCTGGGCACACAGCGCTGCTGCTGGGCATGGGGATGGGGCTGAGCATGGGGATGGGGCTGGGGCTCGCTGTACGGGGGCAGCCGGGCAGGGCACAGAGCCGGGCACTGCCGCAGAAGAGGCTGCTGGCTCTCCGGGGCCTGTTCGTGCTGAGCACCGCGAGGGAAGGAGCGGCTCCTGTGTCCTGCTCCGGGCACCCCTGGGCGCTCCTGAGCCCAGCCGCCCTCCGGGCACATCCCGCCGGGCACGGTCGGGAGCGCTCCTCGCTGGAAAGGGCACCCGGGAGAGCCGGGGCGCTCCAAGCCCCGAGGGGGATGCAGTGAGAGCAGCTTGTGCCTGAGGTCGGAGCAGGGCTGGGTGCTGTCCGTGAGCCCCCTGTCCCGAGAGGTGCACCGGGACCAGCTGCAGCCGCACGTGTCCTCACGGATGGACACCACTGACATCTTCTCCAGGAGCGGCTCTGGCTGCGGCAGGCGCGGGTCCCTCCGCAGGTCAGAGCCAGCGCTGCTGGGCCAGGCACGGAATGTCTGCTCCGAGCAGCCGCCCTGGGACCGGCCTGGGCAGCGGGAGGGCCCCGAGCAGCCTCTGGCTTCCCGCAGAGTTTCTGTGCAGGCGTCGCACGGGGAGCACTGACACCTCTCCTCCTCCTTCCCCTGGGATAACGGGACCTTTGTTTTGGCCCTGAGCTCATCAGCAACCGAAAGCTGAGCTTGATGTTGTCTCTCTGGATGGTAAAATTTGCATTTATTGCCATAGGTGCATTTTTTACCTGAAACGATAAAACCAAATCAGACAGGAAGTTGTCACTAGCACCAACATCAATTAATGCACACATCACTTCTCCCCAGCACTGGGTGTGACAAACACAGAAAAAGAGGAAGTACTATTTTCAAACTCAGTACTGTTGACTCCAGATTTAAATATTGCTGATATTAATAGCAGGGTGAAGCAGCAGTGAAAGGAAGTCTCAGCTATTTTGGAAGTGTCTGATATTCATGTTTCAGTTCCTGCACTCAGTGGGCTGGGAGGCCTGCTGCTACAAAAGGTGGCTTTAAAAAATGGCATAGGGATTTACCTCTGAGAAACCTGCTGTCAGGAGGGGAGAGAGGGAAAGTGTTTGGATGGCCATTCCCAAGTGCTGCAGCAGAATCCACTCCACCAGGTGAGAAGTGTGTGTGGGCAGGACATCCAGCACAGCCACAGTGCCCATGGGTGCTGCGTGCAGGCAGGGATGGAGGGGTCACAAGCATCTGCTGCCTTTGCTGAGGCTGCAGCCACTCAAGCAGGAGGGGGAAAAGCATGACACCTTGGAGCAACCCCAGCCCAAGCGCTCACCACATAAAGCAGGACAGCACGTGGCTGAGGGAGAGCACTGCTGGGAAGCAGGGGGCACTTCACAGCATGGGGAGAAACCCACCATAAGGGCAAGGCTGCCATTTTCTCTCAGGAAGCACTGGCTTTTTGCTGAGGAAGTTACTTAAGGTGGGTCCGTGCCGGCCTAATGGATCGTCGGGAGGCATAAACCTGGAAAAGTAAAAGAAGCCATGGATGTGAGCACAGGTCTGTGCACACTGGATGTCTCAGTGAAGTGCACCTCCCCTGGACACCTCAGCTATTAAAAACTCAGGAGAGAAGAGAGGTTAGTGTGAAGAGACTGAGGAGCACTCAGCCGAGCCTTGCAGGTGTGGTGGAAGAATGAAAACCTTCTCTCATCAGGGATGGTGAAGGGCCAGAGAGACCAGCTTCTTGTCTCTTCTAGCAAGCCATGACTGCAGAAACACAGGGAAAAGTCCTATTTTGTCGTGTAGGGGAATTAAAAATACTGCCAGCCAGCCTCCTCTCATGGATTTAAATCTGCTTCTTACAGGAAATAGAAAGTAAAAGATACCAGCCTTTGGTTCAGCATCACAAATTGGATTGGAAAGAAGCAAAGCTGGTCATTAATGCTGCCATTCAAAAGCTCATAGAAGAGTGACATGGGAGGTTTTAAGACCAAAGCTGAGGGAGTAGGACACTCAAGAAACAAGAAAAGCAAAGCTGCAGTAAATTCCTTCCATAAAAAGGCTCATGTATTCTGCTACTGATGGGAGGTACTCCGATGCTGGCCCAGAATGTTTAAATTCTAGGTTCTATAACAGCATCATCTCCTACCTGTTACTGACAAAGGAGTACATGAGTAGTCGCTGCTCAATGAACCATTTCCACTCGGGGTTTTCATTCTGGAGGTCCCGGTAGTGGTCATTGGAAACAATGACTCCATCCCTCTCATAAGCGACTTTCACTATGTAGCGATCGTCGTAGCAAACCACCCGCTTGCCCTTCACTTTCCTGGAGGGGGTGTACACCAGGATGGATTGCTTCTCCAGCTCCTCAAGGATGTGCTGATCTGGTGGGGGGATTGGCAAAAGTAGATGAGGGAAGCAAAAAATAAAAGAGAAACTAATTAATTATTTATGACTAGGTCTCAAACATCTGCTAGAAACCTACAGGAATCTAAAGATATTTCAGCACTTTAGGAAACTCGCAGTGCAATTTTCAAATGCAGTGATATCTGGTGGTTATTTCACAACTTGAAAATCAGATCTTTTACAAAGAGGTTTTACCAAACCTGTAAATTTTGAGACACCTTTTTTTGATTTTTAATTCCTATCTGTAAAAGAATGCCTTGAATTCTACACCAGAGTCTGATACTGAATCCCTGCAGTGCCCTTTTTACCCTGCTAGATGCCAGAAGGCTCATAACCAGCCCTGATGTAAGCTTTGCATGGAGATAAAACATGTGATAAAATACATAAATAAACTTCTGCTGCTGCTGTTGAGGACAGTCTGACCTCTTGCCATTCCTTCTCTGCAGGAAGGCAGATCTGCCTCATCTGCAGACACCAAGCTGCTGGCACAAACCTGGCTGATTTCCAGACAAAATATTTCCCTACAAACTGAGTTTCACTTCCCTCCCCAGATTTCTGCTGATGCATTTTGTTCTCCTGGAAGGGGAGCCCATGCACCCTCTGTGTTGGGCGGCAGGCTGACAGATAACAGCCATGCAGTAATGAGCATCACTGTCTCCTGGCAGGCCTCGAAGGCTCCAAAGACTCATTGCAAGCTGACAAACTCCTTCTTTAACTCAGCTTGGCAGCACCTTGTGCTTGTTAAGCAGAAGGTTTAAAGCAGTGTAACAAAGCCTTGTAAGCAGTTTTAGCTGCTAGCCAGGAGCACTGAATGGGGCAATGAATTAATGACTCATTCAAGTGAGGGAAGCCTGATACACAACTTGCACTGTGCTTGTCTTTACAGGAAAAACAACTGTACTGGGTTCTTCACAGCCCCTCTGTCTCCAAACTGCACCTAATGGCTGCCAAATTACCCCAGGATGGTGACCTACCTGCAATGGGGCTGTCTTGTCGAGGGGGTTCCTTCCTCCAGAGTGGGACAAAAACCTTGATGTAAGTGTGCCCCCTCTCTCGAAACCAATCCACTGCCAGCTGAATGCCCCAGCAGGAGAACACCTCCTTGTTTCCATGACTGTAAAGAAAGAGAGGGGATGATGAGGCAAAGCTTTCATGAAGCTTAAAGTTCTCTTTAACTGAGCCAGTAATGAAAAGGCAAAATAAACAGCTTTTGTGTCATTCACCAGTTTCCAAGAAAACAACTGGCAGGGTGTCCTGGTGGGACAGATCCAAACAGCTCCTCCAGCAAAGATTTATCTGAAACAGTTTGGACACTTAAAAACAGAGGTTTCCTATCCCCCATTTCTGTGATCCAAGCCTATTCCTTCCATCTGTATCTGGATGGACTTAAGTTCTAAAGTACCAACAAGATCTTAGGCCTTGTCAAACCCTTCACATGCCTTGTCTGAAAAAGGTTTGAGGAGTGAGAGTTTCTTCCTGCACAAGCAGAAACCCATGAGGCTCCTGTGAGAAACAAAATGTGGGAATTTTCTTCTGTAGTGACAGGGCCATTAGAGATTTTAATGACTGAAGGTGTGATCACAGGGCACTCCACTGGTGGTCTTTTTTGGAAACATGAGACAAAATATGGGGGGAGAAAAACTGTAAGAGGCAGAAGAGGCAGGATAGGAAATACAGAGAACCAAAAAAGGGACAAGACATCAGTGGAGATAGCCACAGGCACCTAAGGCCCACTTTTGTCTTGCTCTAGTTGATGGATATTTTCTTCATTTCACAGAGAGGTAGGAAAGCCCTAAGTGTTCTAGAAGTGCCAGCAAGGTGGGTTCTAAAGAATTCAGTATGTAGCATCAGACAGAAAATAACCTCAAGGAAAACAGTGGGGGTGACATCCTTCTAAATGTCCCACCTTCCCTGAAAGCTCCTACTGCTTGACATTCACTTATCTAAAATTTGACTGCAGCACAGTGTATGTGTAAAGGAAGGTAGTTTGTGAACTACCTCTGAACAAGGAAATTTAAATTTAAAAATTAATTAATTTAAATTAATTTAATTTAAATTTGTACCCAAAGTCCTAAGTGGATAAATACCTTCACAGTATCTACAGAATGCTCATCCTTGTACTTTGACTTTGCTACATAATATTGCCAGTCTCACTCAGGCTTTCACTTCTGCAAAAGGTCCTTGGGAATGACTCCCTTGGCTGCTCCACCCACCTGCACTGACAGACCAGTCAAGGGTGATGCCACAGTCTTAAATGAGTCTCCCACCACCCTCCCAGGGATTCATCTCTAGGATCTGTCTACACCAACCTCGTAACCAAAGCTGGTTTTACACCCAATAAAAGTTTCTGTCCTGAAATGGTGACCACAGATGAAAAATAGCACAATTTGTAGGAAGAAACCTGGCTGCCTATTAAGAGCTACCAAGGCAATAGGAAGTCATTCAAAACCCTTAGCAATAATAAATGGTCTGATGTGCTTGACATATCTAATCTCCATTTTAGAACAGCTGTTTTGTTTGGTTTTAAAGGATGGGATATTTCCAGGACATTCATAACATCATCTGGACTGCTGAATTGTGAGTGACTTTTTCAGATAATTACCTTTGAAAGGCAGTCCAGGTACATCTTTGATGCCACGACTCAAACAAATTTCAGCAACATCTTTCTTAAATATTGGCTACTTGTATATATAATCCTGTGCAGAAAGTAAAGTACTCAAGCACAAGTGGGTCAGCCAAAAGGCTGAGTGGAGCAAGGAAAATGATGCACCTGGAACTGCTCCTCAGCATTATCAGCTAATCCAGCTGCTGCCACACTGCTGCAGCCAGACCTGTGGGCCACATGAATGAGTCTGTCCCTGTGTGGGGGCTGCACATCCCCACGGAACACCAGGGACTGCTGTGCAATGGAGCAAGGCCCTCGGAGCTTCCCATCCTCCCTGTGTGGCACACACTGGCTCCTGCCAGTCACCTTTCCCACAAAACCCAGGAGTCCATGGACCATAACTCACCCATGACCTGCCACAGCTCAGTCTCATCTCTGCCTCTTGCCAGCAACAGGGCACACTGCACAGGGTCACAGACCTGCAGGGCCCATCTCTCAGAAAATGGAGCAGCGATTTGGCATCTCTGTGACTCCAGCAGTTAATCCATCATTAGCATCCTTTTTAAATTGTGCCATTCCAGCTCCTTTGGGAGGTAGTTTAGGCAAAACAACTTTTGAAAACTGCAAATGGCCCAATCTCCCTGTGGTCATGACACAACATCAGCTAAAGCTTTGTCAGAAAGGCCTAGGAACAGGCCTCTGTAGCTACCACAGTTTTAAAACTAGGTGTAAGTGCAAGCACTAGAGGAGATAGCAGTGTGCAGTGAATACAGTTATGACACTTCCCTTTTTCTATTAATACAACTCCATTTATTTTTTGCACCAGCCTTGCTAAACTTCCCATGGATAGGCTGGCAGGAGGCAAAATTTCTCATCACACCTGATGGAAACACCAAGTGTCCTGAGATGTCTGATGAGTGAGACTGGCTGAAGGCAAGGTCATTTTCCATTCAGCTTCTCTGGGTAGGCTGACTGATGGTTGGAGTCTGCTGAGCCAGTTGCTTTATTACCCTGGGGCATATTCCTCCTTTTCAAAACCTTGTGTTCTACAGTGGGCCCTCAATGCCGACTCTGAAATGCTCCAGAAACACCAATCCTAAGATATAAACATAAATGCTCAAGATATTTTTCCCCACATAGACAACTGCCCCTTGAAGCTCTAACTTCTCTATTGTTTCGTTCCTAAACTGCTGCTTCTGCTACACTTCTATGGTTGTTGGTATTGATGATGATGGAGTTTTCCCCAGCAAGGGAACCTGACATCCCTTTCCCCTGACATCTGCAAACAGTCCTTCTCTGTCAGTCAGCAGCAATCCAGAAAAATTAAAGCAAGGATACTGAAAGCACTGTCCAGGCCTACCCCATTAGCCAAAGCAAATGCCATTCAGCACCACTTTGAAAGGCATCCAGGAGAGGAAAGCAGCTGCTCCCTTTCAGTACCAGATGAACTGACAAGCTCAATAGTCTCCTCCACCATCCACAGACTCATTATCAAGGCAGAGTTTGGGATGTCTGAGAAGAGCTGTAAAACTTCTGCCTTTCTGAAACTTAAAGCTGCTGTGCCTGGAGAGCTGAGTACAGAGCCCTTGGCCCACCATGGGTAATACTGACCCTGGCACAGTGACAGGGGGGGTGATCACTCAGCCACACTGCCTGAGTGGGTGCTCAGTTCTTTTGCAGAGAGGCAAGAAAGACACCCTGAGGAGCGGCTTGGGTGAAGAGGCAAAGCAGGGCAGGAGATCTTAACACCTGGGTACCAAGCACATGGCCCAGACAAGGCCAAACAAATTTGCTCTGTTGTGTATTTCCCACTCCTAGTGAGCTGCCTTGAGCAGGGAAACTCTTGGCTTTGTCTGGGATTTCTCCCTTCACCCACAAGATGGCATAATTTGCTTAGCCTCCGGTTTCTCTGGATGTGCTTGGCCAGTTTTCTCTCCAACCAGAGGGGATTTGGTCTCATCTCACAGAACAGCTAACAGGAGGAGGAAGCCTTCCTTTGCCCTGTCCCAGCCTGCAGGGATGGGCCTGGCCCTGCTGAGTGGACAGGGAAGTTAACAGAGAAAACAGATGGACAGCCAGTGCATCCTGGACTCTTGGCTCTGTATTGCTGGGATAAACAGAGGCCAACTTACTGCTGCCTTGGGACATCCCATCCACAGGGATATGCCAGGCTCCCCATCTGTAAGAGCACTTAGACAGTGCCAGGGCTGTGCTCAGGAAATGGAATTGGCCAGCAGGGGTTGATGCGACATTTCCCAGAAACAGACTGACTGAGGAGGAAATGAATCTATTCAATATCAGTCAACTATCAATTCCCTGATATTTACCTAAAACAGAAGCCAAATAGAAATCCAACAAAAATGATACAATCCAGGAAATGTTCTCAGCTTGTATAATTTTTGTTGGTTTTCCATTTGACTTCCATTTACTTTTGGAGTTTACTTGCAGGACAAAGCAGTAAAACTGTGATAATGTTAGAAACCACAGCCACCTGACTTTATTTCCCCTCTCCTTAGATTAGGTGAGTGATCTGTCTATCTGTTCATCAGATTTTCCCTGGAAACACCTTAGGTTTAGAAATCCTAGATACCCATTTAGAAAGGGTAATTTACTGGTGTAATTTACTGGTGAGCTCCAAGGGGGAGACACTGCCAGAAACAGTGGGCAGAGGCTGCCTTAGAGCAGGTCAGAATGCAGAGTGAGCCAGTGTTTGCATGTGATGTGCATATCCATGGGCATCCAGACAGCAGGTCCTTAAAAGCTGTGCATCAGCCAAAGAACAGGAACAAGCAATAGTTCATACATCAAATGCATCAATGCACCTCTCACCTGAAGGAAAAACACACTTCAAGCCATCAGTTTTAGAAGTCAAAAGCTTCAGAGGAAGAGAGGTGCCTTTCAGGAGAGGAGCTTACCTCATGGCGACATTGCTGCCATCAATCACAATGGGCCTCAAGGAGTCAGAAGAATCACTTTCATCTTCTCCAAGCCACTTCAGCCCTGCTGAGGTGCTGCACGATCCACGGGCTACCAGCTTCAGCTGGGAAGGCTGAGCCTGGTCCTCCAGAGCCTGAGGTTTGCTCCCCATCCGAATCAGCTCCTTCAGCACATCATCCTCCAGGGCCTCTTGGCCCAGATTCTCCAGCACTTTGCAGATGTCCTGCTTATTATAGCCCAGCTTGCAGAAAAAATCCATCTTGCTCTGGTTCACTTCCACTCCTGCTGCAGAAACTTTTCTGGAGTGTGGTGGTGCTGCTTTGCTAGAAATTGAACTGGCCAGTGCCATTTTAGGAAGTATTTATGCTCCTTTAAGCCTGATGATCCTGTCTTCCCAGCTGTGTCCCACAGGCATCAACTTCAGGGAGGGAAAGATTAGCAACTGCAAAACACAAGCATTAAGGAAGGACATGCAATCATCTCAATCCTTTGCCTAGAGCACAGCAGAGACCAGCAGGTTAGCTGTCTTCCCTCTGAGGAGACTGTCCAGCCTTCTCTCAGCATTAAAGCATTTTCTGCTCCACTCTTAGTTATAAAAGCAGCAGAGTGTCCCATGCAATGTTCGTCACTCTCCCAGTATTATGTCAGACAGGTGTCACTTGACTGGGTGAGCTATGCCAGGCTGCCTGTGCGCAGACAGGCTGCATGCGTGAGTTGGTTCTTCAAACTTATCTCACAGGAAATGACACAAAGGGGATTTTCAATCTGCTGTGTGGTTTCTCAGCCCCAGATAAATATCTGTCAAGTTTTACTGGATGGGCTCAGATGCCATAGCAACTTAACAAGCAGAGCAAATTTCATCCAGTGATTTAAGGAAACATGCTGTTTGCAAAGTATCTGGAAACAGATTTTTTTAATAGTTTCCTCTTTTCTACTATGTTTCTGTGTGTATACAGACATAAATTCTGAAATTCTGTCACTCATCAGTTCTAATGATGCCTGACTACTCTTTTCCTGTTATTTGCTATTTTGGTGAGGGCTTTTAATTTCAGAGAAGCAGCTTGTTTTTTTGAAAGCCATCAGGACAGTGCCTTGAAGCAGGTGATCCAGAAAGCGGTTTCAATTTCATTTACGTTTATTGTCAAGGTAATTCAGAAATGAGTGTGCAAAAGTAGCAAAAAGCTACTTCATATTCTCCAGAACTGCACCACGTAAATTTCTGCTCTACCCAGTGAATGAAGGTGATGGGCAGCACAGTCAGGGTACCCAGAGCTGCCAAGCCCAACCAGGGTGACACAGGAAAACATCCAGGGTGACCACTCATCTGTGAAGCCAAACACCTTCAGCCACTGTTGGCTTGCTTGCACTGAAGCATCTCTTGTCACATCACTGAAATTATTGGTGCTACCTGGTTAAAAGCTGTGGCTGGTTCTTCTACCCACACAAGGGATAGAAGGGTGGCCCCCTTCCCTTTGCTGGCTGCAGTCAGATGCAGATTTAGCTGACCAAACAACCCCTCCGTGCTGAGGCCAGAGCCAGAACCACATCCCACCCTCCAGCTCCCCTTCCCAGCCTGCCTGCCACTCCCTGCCCAGCAGTGGCCAACCCAGGAGCCAGAGGCTGACACCATGTGGAAGAAGGCATGGAGGTACTGGAAACAAGCAGCTGGGAGAAGATTCAGAGTGAAGCTCCTCCCCAAGGCATAAGAGCCTTCTCAGGCTGTGGGGAAGAAATCCACGCTGGGTTCAGTTAATTTAAAACTGATTAGTTCAGCAGGAAAACATGGTAATTAGTTATAACTTCACCCAGTGAAACTTTGATTTTTACTTTTCTATGTAAAAATCAATGTTTCTTTTGTATGTTATAAATTTCAGGTGTTCTCTGGGAGAAATCTGGCACTCAGTTAAAAATGACAAACAGCATAAATAAAACAAAATATACTTTAAAAATGTCATAACTGTAAGGGGAAAACAGTTACCATGTGTATTTTTCCATCTAAACTGAGGCATTGCTTATTTTAGTCAGTGACTGTTTTCCTCACAATGCACTCTATAACAATTTTTACATCTAATCCTTGCTTTTAATTCATTGATGAAAAGATGAAAATTAAAATGCTTTTTCATTATTGAAATGTTTTCTCATCTTTGGAACAGCTACTGTCTGAGCTAAAATACATTGATGTAACAAAATAAAGCAGAAGCTGTCACATCTGGGATAGCACCACAGTAAAACCTGCTTCCAGGTATGCAATTCATGGTTCCAAACACTTAAAGTGTGCTACTTCATTTTTTTTTAAATGCCTAGGTTTTTAAAAACAAATTATTGCTAATTAAAACTTTTCTTAGTATATCTTCAGGTTGAAAAGATTTACCACATATTTTAATTGCCATTACTATTCTTTTCAAACCTGTACTTCTGTCTACTCTGATGCTTTTTCTTTTTTTTTTTTCTTTTTTTTCTCCCCCTTATCTTTTACCATCAGAACAATTTCCCATGTTAGCACCACATTGTGTTGCATGGATGTTTGCCCTGGATTTCACCTGAAATTAGGTTGGATTCAATCCTTTAGAATTTTACCAGCTGCAGAGGGGGCAGAGGCCACATCCACCTAGCAGCCTCCAGCACACATGAGCAGGTGCTGGATGAAAGTTGTTCACCACAGCACTTTCCTGGCTCCATCCCAGGCAGCAGCAAGCCTGTGGTCCATGTCTGCACACTTTGCTTCTTTTTGCCAGGCTTGGTCCCTCTGTGCAAGCAGTGAATCCCCTTGGTTTGCTGAGCTTGGGAAGCGCTGAGCTCCGGATGCTGCCTGGCCTTGATGTGATGCAGCATCAGCCATCACCAGCAGTGTGGCAACTCTGCAAAGTTAACCACTGGATTTCTGCTGCAGTGTGGCCAAACATCATAAATGGGTGATACAGGCACTGCAGGGTTTTCACCACAGAGAGAATAATTTGGAAAAACAGATGGAAGCCTTGGTGACAGAAAACACTGAGGTCACCCTTCTCAAGGGGGAATTAAAGGGCAATAAAATCCCTGGCTTACACATTAGTAAACAGTCAGGAGTGTGCCCAATTCCAGCATGTCAGCTGGCTGCTTATAACCAGCATGTAAAACATGACAAGAGGAGAAATTGTGTATCACAGAGTCCAACTTTTGCTATCACAAACAGGTTGTGAAATGCCATTTATAAACTTTATGACCTTAATTTGCAAACTGCCTAGATTTCCTCCTGCCACTTTCCTCCCTTCATCTCAGCTGATCCCACTGGAACCTCTTTTTGTTTTCACTGCACTGAAAGCCAAAGTCTTCTCATTTCATAGAATAATTTATCCACAGATAATGGTGTGCCCATCCTATGTTCTAGCTTAAAAAGCACTCACTCTGTGTTGCTGTGACTCCTCTTACAGATACACACATACACACACACACACACACACACACAGAAGGAATGGCTTCAGTCAGATTTCCAAAATTCTATTTCAATCTTAACATTTTAGAAGGTTAATATTTCAATGAGTACTTTTGACCAAAACAAAATTTAAAAACCTCTTATGTTTTTCTGCCTTTGGTATATTTTAACAGATTTTTAAGATTAGAAAATTATAATTGAGAACAATTTTCCAAAGAAGTGGTGGTAACTACTACATCTTGAATGACTTTAAAGAATGATTTTTCCTTCCACCAGGTGTTTGCTCCTCTTCTGACCAGTCAGAGCAGCACCTCCAGCAGCCTCAGGGCACAGAACCACAGTAAGGACCAGTTTGACTCACGGGGCTCTTCAAAGCCCCCTCAAAGGCCAGTTCTGCCCAAGCAGAGGCAGAGGGGATTCAGCCTCAGACAGACCTGGCACTGGTCAAGGCAGAGCAGGATAAGGTCTTCTCTAAAGTTCATGTGTTTGCCAAGCAGCACAAGGAGCACAGCTACAGCTCCCTGCCACCACAGTGCTGCCCCTCACACCTTGGGGCCAGACCACTTCACCCCTCTGCCTCCTTCATCCCTGAGAATGACTCTGCAAACCACCTAAGACTGACTGCCCATTTGAGCCCTGCCATGTGGTGGGGCTGCTCTACCTTCAGAAAAGTAAGAATTTTTATTTTCACAAATGAAAGATGCACATAACTCTTCATAAACTCTTCACAGAAACATCAGAAATTTGTTGTCTTGATGGCTAAGAAAAGATTTGCCTTTTTCTTCCCCACCTTCCCCTGCTCCAGCAGTGCCCACAGGTAACCCCTTGCTCTGCACCTTACCTGGCAGCTGCTCTTTCTGTGGCCCACAAGTGCTGTCCCACCATCCTCCAGCCAGAAGCTGGACTCAGAGCAGTACCAGACTCACAAGGAAGTCACCAGCTTGTATTTACAGGTATGGCTGATGTAACTGAGACAAATAAGTGCAGTGGGCAGAACTCATTTTATAGGAGGGTTTTACTTCCTCATTTGGCAGGCCATGCTCTCATATAACCGTAGTTTGATAGACTTTCACTTCATTTTTCAAAAGGAAAAAAAAAATAAAAGAGGTTCCCAACACACCTCTGTTCTGAGTCACAGGCAAAAATTAGTCAGACTCACTCCAGCAGGGATGCAGAACACTGGGCAGTGAGAACACTGCATATGAATTCTGGGTCAAGTGAAAAATTTTCCACCAGGATTGCTGTACCAAGTTAGCACAGCCTCATTCCCATGCATCTGGCAAATTCCTGACCTCTGGGGAAATGTGGAAAAAAATACTTCAAAAAACCCAACATTTTGCTTAGCACCTGATACTGCAAAGCCTCATTCAAACATTTCCATGTCTGAAGGAACCTGCTCTGGGACACTTCAATGAAATATCAAAATCCAAACAATCCCCTTTAGCCTGCTGGTGCCTCCACTGAAAGACTGCTTCAGAGATGCTCAGCCTGTCCACAGCAAAGTCTGACAGGCACCTCTTCATGGAAACCTGAGGTTTTCCTCTGCTTTTTCCTTACCTCGCTGCGAAGAAATACACCCAAATCCAATTTAGGCAGCAAGAATGGTTGGAGACTAAGAGGGGTCAACCTCTGGGACCTTTTGGATGCTTCAGACAGCTCTTGCATGTGCAGTGCCCTCTGCCCTGAGGGATGGCTGGGGTGCTGTGCTGTGGAAGGAGAGAACGTCTGCCACTGTCAGAAGGCAGCACACCAGAGCAGGGTTGACCTTGCCCAGTCAGAAATCCCACTACCTGCACACTTTGTGGGAGTAAGCAGGGTGGCCAAAGCCTTTGTAGTGGTATCCCGTTTAACCCAGAGTGTTTGCTGGTTGCTGCAAGCCTCACTCTTGCTTTTTCCAAGTGATGGTTCCACCTTTACATCACACCCAGACCCCTGGAAACTCTTTGGGAGCCAGGACGCCCTGCTGCTGTGTAAAGCAGTGCCCAGGCAGTCACAGGATAAAGGGGCAGGACACAGCCTCCTCCATCCTACTTCTGGCACAACTCTTCCTCTAATCCACTAAGCTGGGCAGGTTAAGGCTACAGAAACAGGGAAGTGTTCCTAGAGCCACAACTAAAGACACATGTTAGCTCCCTGCTGCCCAGAACAGCTGTGAGAGCAGAACAACCTTTGACTCATCACTCCTTGGACTCAATCATAGAATGAACTAGGCTGGAAAAGACCTTTGAGATCATCAAGTCCAACCTAAACTACAAACATCCCTGGAGAGGAGGGATCTTCTCTGCTCCAGTGAAGCTTTCACAATGCCCCATGCCTCATCACAAGACCACCACGTAGCAGTGCCACTGGAAAGAAAGTTGCTGCAGTCTTTGTAACCCAGGCAGGCAGCAGAGCGAAGCACATACATTGCGTGGTGTTGTTTCAACCCCTACTTCTCAGTAAAATAGGGGTTTCACTACCTAAAGAGGAACAAACCAGAGATTATAAAAGGAAAAGAGAAGCCAATTAGATAAAAGAAATCTCATTTCTATTGAAATGACCATGCCCATCTACTGTAAAAAACCATGAGCAAAAAAGATTTCAACATCATTCAAATTGTAGGCAGCCAGGAAGACCCTCAGCCAATTCCTGAAACCTGTTTACTACGTGATCCCCAGCTACATGAGAGAAGACCATGAGAAATAACTCAACTTTTCAGATGGCCTCACACACTTTCACTCACCAGTACAGACACACGTTTGAGCCCCAAAGGCTGTGGTTTTATAGACATTTCCTTTCTCTGCTGTGCTCCCTTGTGCTGACAACCATGCTGAGTTTTCCCAGTATGGATTTATTGCTGCTTAAGGCCATTGTTATGTTGAAGAGGGAAAGAGCTGGAGTAGGAGTGGTTTTCAGAGGGAAAGATCTCCCCACTAATGGATGTTTCAGTGCTGAGGACTGAGGATTTACTGGTTTGTGAAACAGCAAGACCTTCACCAGAAACAATCACTGCCAAACTCAAAGTGGGGCAGCCTTGTTGCAGCAGCTCCTGGAGGCTACAGAGTTGACCAAGCACGACTTTGAAGAAGACTCCTTGTGCAAAACCACTTTCCTGGTGGTGTTAGACTCCTGCATGGAAAAACCACTCTCTTGAAACTGGTTCTGTGGAACACCTCAGGTGTTTCGGTCTACACGCCTCACTGAGGTATTTGCTTTGCTAAAGGAAACAGTCACTATTGCATCAGCACAAGAGAAAAACATTATCACCCTCTTCCTCATCTGAAAAGTTTACCTGCTGTGTACCAAACAAGCACGTGGCCACAGTAACACAGTGAAAATTCTTTAGCCCCTAACCAGCAGAACACAACACAGTCAGAATAAAGCAAGTGCTACATCAAAGATCTATTGCCAAGAATATTTTTAATAATTGTGGAACTAATATATTCTCCATCCTGCTTCAAGTGAGAGTATTTCCCTACTCCCTTCAGGAAGGCTCAGGTCAGACCCTCAAACCAAGCTCTCTCAACAGTATAAGCTATGCTCCTGATTTAAATTACATTTTTTTTTACTATTAGGCAAAATCTGGATGTTTTCTGCCAGTGAATTTCTTTCCCTGTTGGAGACACTGAAAATTTTGACTTGGAGACAGGTGTTCATTCCAAAAGCCTACATCACTAACTTAGCAGGTCCTACTAGAGTACCAGTTCAGTTCCTGACAGGCAATCCTGTATTCACACTGGCAGAAAGCCACTATCTTTACAAGAGATATTTCTACATGCTTGCAAAAATGACCACCTTTCCTACTTCCCCAAAACTATGCCAGTGTAGCAAGCACTCCGTCTGACCACAGAACAGAGAGAACAAAAAACAGGAAAACCAATTCCAATAATGCAAACAATGGTAACTTCTTGGAAAATTGCAATCCCATCCATAATGTCTGATGTAGCAGGATCCCTACTTGGCTGGCCTAAAATATCTATTTTCCTCTTTTTATATAACAAGATACTGCTATGACTCAAGTTGTTTTCCACTGGGTTTAAAATAAAAAAGTACCTTTTACAGAGTCAGAAAGTCCCAAACAAGTTTCAAGTTCAAAAGTTTACTGCCTTTCAGGTTAAGATTTCAGAAGGCTCTTGGAACTGTCTTTCAGCTTCAATGATTTATTGTAAGCTCGTAAGACCTAAACCAACACAGTTTGCTGGTACCTTTTAACACAGCTGCCACATTTAACCAAGGTGATAGTGGCTTGCTCACTGAGAAAACGCACATTCCATCAGTGGCCAGACCAAGCATTTTACACAAAAATACCACCCTGAAGCAAGTATTTACATAAATCTGACAGTAATTTAACATTTTTCAAATTGCTTGCACCTCCTCTGTGTGCAACAGGTGACTGACAGAAAAGGAGAGACATTACCCATGCTCCAGGAAGCTTACAAGCAAAACCTGTAATCCTGTTGCCAACAACATACAAGTTTTACATGAAAAAATTCAGGCTACAGCAGGATGAGATGGACAAAGATAACAGCAGCAACAGAATCAGAAATTGTTCTAAACTTCTTGGAAATTTTAAAATGCATGTCCAAATAACAAATGGATGAGGGGAGTGGGGGAGAATTTGGTTTGGTTTGCTTGTGTGGTTGTTAGGGTTGGGTGTGGTTTTGACAAGTGGAAGGAAGCAGGTAGAGCTTTATCTCTAGAGAGTACAGGGGTACCAGGACTGGGTTTGGGTAACTCCCATCCTGCAACGCCAACCACTTGGATACAACATTTACGCTACTTCCGCTGACTTGTGTGATGTCCATGAGATTAGAGACAGATCTCTGGTGCAACCTACCCTCCCTTCCCACTTGCCTTTAGTGCTCTGCCACCAGATCCCATTCATGACATGGTTTTGGCCAAGTCCACTCCAAGTTTTGGACTCAAACTCAAGGGATCTACCAAGAACTAAGAAACTACAACATGTGACAGCAAAATAGTCACAAACTTACTCAAATCCACAGAACAAAACAGTTTAGTCTACATCACATTTTTAAGCTGTTGTAGGTAAAGCAATCCAGTAGAAAACTCCAAGGAACTGGTTGTTAAGCCTTTAACCACTGAACAAAGAGCTCTAAAGCATGAGGTGTTCCCCTTCAAACAAACATCAGCTAAGTCAAAGTGAAGAAGTTGATGCTTCTGCTACACTTTCAATGCTATTTTCAACATTATAGAAGGTGGGTTTTTTGGTTCTGTTTTTCAACTACCACAAGCACCAAAGGTCAATAGCGAAACTGAGACTGGAGAAAGCATTGATGAAAACGAAATGACAGGGAAGTGTGACTTCTCATTAGATTAAAACAAGTCAACTCTTCAGCTCCCAGATAATAAAGTCCTGTCCACTCCAACACCTCTGGCTGGATGGGCACAGCAGGAAATGTTTTTCGTGCCATTCCCAGAAGAACCCCATGTACACAACCATAATTTCCAACGACAGGAGGAGTAAATCCCATCTAACCCAAGTGCTTTGCTGTCTATGTGCCAGGTGAACTGAGACCCCTCAGCAGACTAGCCTAGAAATGCAGGCCTAATATTAAGTACTTGCTCCCAAATTGGCAGCTTCTATACTGTCATTTAATCACCTATTTTTTTAAATATATAATATTTTAAAATATATAATGATTTTTAACATAATAATTAATATCACCTTATTTTTGAACATCCACCTTTGAAAGCTTCCTCCTAAAAAATAGAAACAGGTGATTTCACTAATCTGAAGATACTGTGCATTTTTAACAGCACCAAGGCATATTGAAAATCAGAAACTTGAAACCTTTTGGATGAACTGCTTTTTAATCCTTAATTCTGAAGACTCTTTGGCCAACAATGAAAATGGACTATTTACTTCCATATAATACTCATTTAAACTTTCAGGTCTTAAGCATTTACCTGCTGCAAAGAAA